GCTGTTGCAGCTGTCTGGGTTACGGTGTAAGGCAGAGTGCCCTTGTCCCATTTGTGCAGTGGGCAAGTCATTATCCGCCATGGAAAACACGGGCGCAGTTCGCCAGCGCACTCGGCTGCAAGAGTTTTCAAGTTGGCAGATGGCCAACTTGAGCAACGCCGGTCAATCCCAAAGAACAAGTCAGGTCGGGAAGGGAGGAAGTGCGAGCGGGAAGGGAGGAGGAAAGCCAGGGCCAGGGCAGAGTGCCAGTGCGAGCAAGGGCGATCTTGGCAAGGGCAAGGGAAAGAAGGGCAAAATCCCGATGCAAGACCCCAACCAGATCCTTTACACATACTTCATGTGCGTGGAGGAAGTTTGGCAGGCAGTGGGCAGTGTATGTGATGATAATCATAGCATGTGTTGATTGTGAGTGTTTCTTACTGCTTGACTGGATGTCTCCCTGCAGGTTCGCTTTGAATTCTTCAAAGCGAACGGCATCGCCGCTTGGGCGCAACCCGGTGCCACGCAGGATAACACTCACAAAAGTTATCCGCACTGGTCCTTGCGCCCCACGGCCCAGACGGCCCTTCAACGCTACCAATGGTGGCCAAAGTGCATTAGATGGCCACTCAGATTCAAGCACTGCTTCGACGCTACATTTATTTATTATCTTATACCTACGGATCTTAATACTGACTAGAATCAAGTAGCAACTTCAACATGATCTCAGTTCAGGATCGATCCACACGCACCGCCAGCTTACCTGAAGCTGGAACTCACCGGTGCAGGCATGCAAGTGATGATGGACAAAAGATGGCTCTATGCCTGTAATGAGACCTGGGCGCGGGGGGTTGAGAATTTGACGCTGTGGGACGGGGAAGTCACCGACGGTGACCAAATCTTGTGGACCACGACCATGGTGAGATTCGCTTACGACGAAGATGATCCGGAGGCCTGGAATGAAGAGCGTGTGGAAGATGAGGATGATTACAACGACTTCGAAGAAAGGCTTGCTGCCATGGAAGACGGCGGAGAATTCATTGAAGTCGTCCACTTGCCGTGTCCGTGAGAAAAAAGGGCAGAGTGCCTTAAAAGGCAGAGTGCCAAAGGCAGAGTGCCCACCATTGGACCATTCAGTGAGGGGGTTGGCCCAAATTCCAATATCAATTTAATTTTCAGGCCAGGACAGTGACGAAGGCAGAGTGCCAGGAAGGCAGAGTGCCAGGTGGGTCAGGCTTCGTCGACTGACTCTTCTCAACTTTTTCAGTGCCGATGTCTGCTCATGTGGACTTCTGCCTGCCTTTCGCACAGCAACAGGTTATTTGTTTGTGGTGCAGGCAAACCAACAAGTCATGATCAAAGTTGTGAGTGTTTTGGAGAAGGCCTCGTCGCGGTCAGAGTAGTGCCTCCAGAAGAGCATTGCTTGCTGCAGAAGCAAAACTGTGAGTGCTGAGACTTCTGAAGACCGAGCACTTCTGAGTTCTGTTGGATGTGTTGGGTTTGCGACTGTGCTGAGAGAGTCTGAGTATGAATGAAAGTGACCATGCAAGGTTTGGCGGTCAGCTGGCGTCTCCAGACCCCAGGATTGCTGGTCATCGGTGCTGTTCTTAGCTTCCGATCATGCTGCTTCTGCGTTGCCAAATTCAACTTAGCATTCTCGGGCTTCTGAAGTGTCATGTCATGATTGTTTTGCCTATGGCTTATGATGGTTGCTCAGGTTTCAAATGTTGCTGCAGTGGTCCTTGAATCATGGAATATGGCAGATTTGAATATCAACACAGCCCTTGAATTAGGTTTCATTCGTGTGCTAAGCTCCCGATCATGCTGAGTCTGTCTGGCCCCTCAATTAAGTTAAACTCGGTGTAGCTGCTGCTTCAATAAAAGTGTCATGTCATGATTATTCTGTCGATGGAGTTGCTCAAAGTGAAGTGAGTCGTGGTCCTTGAATGATGGCATATGCATGATATTTAATGTCAATGTGAGCATAATATCAAAATATAGTTGATATAATTGAAATTGTGTCAAATACTAGTAACTATAATCTAACAACACATTGACGTCAGAGGTAGTATATCATTTCGACATTATAAGGCAGAGTGCCGCCTCGCCATTCTTTGCAGAGTGCCTTGAGCTGGACTGAGAAGGCTGAGTGCCTGCATCTGGCTGGACAAGGCAGGGTGCCGCAATCTGGCTGGACAAGGCAGAGTGCCGCAGGATGACAGCGCCTGTGCATACGAGTCCGCTTGGTCAATTGTTTTGGGCCAATGTGCGAGCCGGCAACATCACCTCTGAGTTTTACGAACAAGAGCTGGATGGATCCTTGCAGATGGGTGGGCATTTTCCCTTGCCGAACAAAAAACCTCTAGAATACTATGTCACAGCCTTCGGTGAGGTCCGCCTGCAATTCCGCGTGAGAGGCGGGCAAGGATGCAAACAGTGCAAGTGTGAATGGAAATACGTCGGTCATGGAATGAATCGGGACTCAATGATTGCGAAGATCCCACAGCCGTGGGTCATCGACATTCTGAAGCTTCTGCGCGAGCTCAGGATTCCTCGGTCTGAAAGGCAGAGTGCCGAAGTCCTCAAAGCCTCGGAAGTCGCAGCAGATGCCCTGAAACTGGTGGATTCTATTCCTGAAGATGCTCTGGACTTCGATCATCCGACAGATCAGTTGCACCTCTGTGTCAAGCTGCACAGGAAACTCGCAAAGGATGAAACAGAGTGTGGAAACCAATATGACTGGCGTTTTCTGAAATCTCGAACGTTCACAACCCACTGGCAATCGTTTCCTGTCCCGCTCGCTTTCGACTTGAAAACCTTGGTCACCCATGCCTCGGGCGTAGTGGCACCGCGGAGGAGAAAATCGGTGATCGTCACAGAAGCCAAAGGCAACGGGACGACTGTGGGAGCCTTCCTCAACCAGAGGTTTTCCGACCCAAGCAAGTTCCCAGAGAAAGAGACCATGCTGATCCTCTTCAAGCTGTTAAAGTTTGTCTTGAAGCTACAAATGCATACCCTTAGGCAGGAAGGGAGTCTTCTGGGGGACCTCCATGAGAATAACATTACTGTCATGGGAGGCAGAGTGCCGGACCACAAAGGCAGAGTGCCAGTGGGGGCGGAGAATTTGACGTTTGCCTTGGTGGAGTTATGGCTGTTCCCGCAAAAAGGATGAAGGGTCACCTCAACTGCTTTCTGAGCTTGTGGGCCATTCCCTCAAACCACAGCGCCACCGTCTCCGAGTACGCGTCAGAGGTCTGGAAGAAGATGCTTGCCGCTGGCGAAAAATTCAAATCTGACTATGGACCGAATAAGTGGAGAACTGGTGAAATGGTGGCCGATCTGTACAAGTTGTGCAAGAATCTGGAAGCACAGTTCCAGCAGGGTCTGGACTTGATGCAACAATGCCAGCAAATGAGGGTCGAGGCAACAAGGGCAGTAATGAGCAGAATTCAGCCGCAGGCACTTGCGCCGCCGAATCCTCCGCCACCTCAGTGTTGGGATTCGACACCTCCCTGGGATCCCCCTAGATCTGCGACTGCAAAAGCCAAAGGGATGAAAGGAGGAGTGCCAGTAGAAGGCAGAGTGCCAGGCAAAGGCGAAGCAATACATCATCCTGAAGGGACTCCTCCCAGGGGGGCCCGCCCGCCTTTGCATCAACCGCCTCAGCAAAAGGCGAGGCCTCCTGCTCCGTGGCAGGTGCCAGCAAGACCGCTGCGAAATGCTGGGACCACTACCAAGGGCGCCGGTGCAACCAGATCATCCTCCTCCTGGCAGGGGGCCGGTGCAACCAGATCATCCTCCTCCTGGCAGGGGGCCGGTGCAACCAGCTCATCCTCCTCCTGGCCACCAGCAGCAGCAACATCGCTGGGGCAGAACGGCCAGAATGCCCGTCATCCAGGACGAATACGATGCCTGGCATGACGATGAGCCGGATCCCGAGCCGAATTCCCGGCCAAGAGTGCCAGAGCCGATGGGTCCCCCGCCGGCAAAGCAAGGCAGAGTGCCAGAGCCGATGGGTCCCCCGCCGGCAAAGCAAGGCAGAGCGCCAGATCCCGAGCCGAATCCCCCGCCAAGAGTGCCAGAGCCGATGGGTCCCCCGCCGGCAAAGCAAGGCAGAGTGCCAGATCCCGAGCCGAATCCCGTGCTAAAAGTGCCAGAGCCGATGGGTCCCCCGCCGGCAGAGCAAGGCAGAGTGCCAGAGCCGATGGGGCCCCCGCCGGCAAAGCAGCCTCCTGCCAAAAGGAAATTCGGCGACGGACAGCCTGTGCCTGTTGGTTCCAAGCCACAGTTTATGTCGGCAAGTGCTCCTGCTGAAATGACGGAAAAGCAAAGGATGGACGAGCAGGATTTCGCCAAGGAACTTGCCGAGTATGCTGACGATACGGCAAGAGGCTACAATTTCGTTCCGCAGGGCCGACGCGCTGAGCCGGCCTGGGTGGCAAAGGCCCAGGGC